CCCAAAAAAAAGCAAAATGGATGTGGTTGGATTAAAAAAAAAAATAAAAAAGCTGAGCATACTATCCTTAGTAATTATAACTATAGACATTATTACAAGAAAATCATCCCAACCTTTTTTTTTTTAAATTCTAATACTGCCCATTGCACATCTTCTCCGCAGGGAACTCCTTCCTATACTAATGGCATAATCTCCTTTCCTCCATGACACTTCAAAGCCCCTCATCTTATGTTCTTTCCTTCAGATCAAATGTCTGTTTGCCTACTTTTTATAGCATGGTTAGATATTAATTTGATAACCTCAAATTCTTTTTTTTTTTTACGAAAAAAGCCCAGTCTTCAGCCTTTTATTATAGATAAAATCTCCATCCCATTATTAATTTGGTCGCCTTCCTTTGTATCCCCTTTGTATGTTCTCTATCCTTACAGTACACAGCTGCACACTATTATAATATAATATACATGACAAAGGCAACATTACACTTCTATTACATGTTTTTATTTTTCCTTTTTATTCATCCAAATATTGTATTTGCCTTTACAGCTGCTGTGTGGAATTGAGTGCTGTTGCTTAGCCTATTGTAAACCAGTTTACCCAGCTCTTTCTCAAGGTCCAGTATCCCAACGGATCTCCATGTAATGCAGAGGGAGTGACTTCATTAACACAGACTAGGAGTAAAAACTTATATTTATCAATCAAGGTATGTAAACCCTAACCTTCTCTTTTTTGCTGCCTTTAAGGTTGTTAAATATACCATTGAAAATGTTTCTTTATATCTGTTAAATGAATTAAAAAAATACCTGTTGATCCTGCCAGAAATCCAATAAACTCCTAACTTCCTGCGCTTGCTGCCTCTGCTGCACTGAGATCCCTAGCAGTTTTATTAGACTTGCCCAGTTCTCTTTTGCGTACTACAGAACATATTCCACCTATGTTATGGAGATGAGGAGACGGGAAGCTTCTCTGTAATCCAATCAGGAGTAAGAAGCCTAGGGTGACAACATTGCTCCTCCATAGACACAGTACATTAAGGGAGCATTGTCATACTAGGATAGGTGGTGTGTTATTGGCAGGATCACCAGGTTAAAAAGAAAAAAGGAAAAAAAGAAAACAAATGCAGCCACCACATCTAAGGACTGCAAAGCAGCAATATATTGTGGGTTTGGAAACATTTTAAATTTCCACTACCATTTAAATGCCCAAGATGCCATTTTGTCAAGATCCTTCTGTAATATGTTACTACTATCCAGTTGCATTTTAATAATTTCACATAATTTCATGTTATCTGACTCTGCCATTTCCAGCTTGATTGCATCATGTCGTTCAGATTTCATTAGATGGCTCTGGCAGCAGACGCTGTCATTTCATACTTACTGTTGGACTGTTGAGATCTGGAGGTGTGGACATATCACCAAATAAATTCATCTGATCAACACCCTTCAAAAGAAAAAACAAACACGTTAACAAACTGATTGCCACTATAGAACACAATAACTAAACCTTTTTGACAAAATGTGATATTGTTAGGCAAGGTAGAAAAGTAATCAACATCATAAACAATGCTGATTACTCGTCTTGTTCCCTTCATTCTGTACAGACTCGTAAAGCATCCATTGTGTCCATAGTGAGAAATGTTCAGATGCTGCTGGATTAGATATGGAAAATGTGCCATGACAGCAACCGAAAATTTCCCTCTAGGCACAAACAATACTTTGAAAGTTGATAAAAGACATAGCAAAGATGAAATGAATACACAAACTCTAAAAACATGCCCGCCTGCATTATCACAATAATCAGAAGCTATATAAAATAGTGCGTTCTGCTTTAAAATATATAACGGGGAACATAAATAATGCAGTAAAGGAATTGTATATAAAATAGTAGGCTGAAAAAAAAGCCTTTTTGCAGTAACCCTATGATAAATGGCTAAATGGAAAAATAAATAAATAAATGAATATATATATATATTATTATACAGGATTTATACAGCGCAGTTTGCGCAGAGCTTTACAATATAAGGAAGACATTACAATCACAATACAATTCAAGACAAGATGGTAAGGAGGGTACTGCCCCTGAGGGCTTACAATCTAAAAGGGAGGGGCAAGTTATACATGAGGAGGTAGCTGTGTTGGGATGAATTGTCTGAGAACGTGATGGTTGAGCAGTTATGTTGAGGCGGGATAGGCTTCCCTTAAGAGATGAATGTTCAGGGATCCCCTAAATGCAGAGTAGAAGATAGCTGGACAGTTTGTCCAATTTGCTCAATGCGTGCAAATGTGGAGGAAAACTGTGCATCTTCCTGTGAACTAGGAGAACTATGAGGTGAGTGAAAATCCCTCATCCTCATAGTTCGAGCCGACGTGTGACAATGAAACTGTCACACGTCGGCTCAATAGATCGCGAAGTGAGAGAACGCATAGCGTCGCTCGCTCACTTCTCGATCATCTCCCTGCAGAGAGCTGTGACTGTCACTCACGGCTCCCCGCAGGGATTGCCCCTCTCTGATCCGCCAGCGCTGACTGGTGGAATGGATGGGGGAGGGGGCGGGTACAGCTGGCTCTGCCTCTGGATAGCCAGCTGTCACTCACGCAGCTGGGTGGATCTCGACAGTAATGTAAAGATTCGTCCCGGCTGCGGCGGTCTCAGTAAACCGCGAGCTGAGCTTTGGGTCACGGGAGGATGCTAGTTTATGTCCTCCTGTGAGCCTTAGGAGAACTATGGGGAAAAACACTTACCCCATAGTTCTCCTTTAAGGGATCGCCTAAAGGCAGTCAGAGTGGGAGACAGACAGACAGGTTGGGGTAAAGAGTTCCAGAGGATGGGAGAGACTCTAGTGAAGTCCTGGAGGCGAGCATGGGAGGAGTTGACGAGGGAGCAGGGAAGCGGAAGGTCTTTTGAAGAGCGGAGGGGACGGTATAAAAAATAAAATATATATATTTCGTATATTTATATGTACTGTATATACACAGTTATATGTGCACAGTATATTTATGAACTTACCTTTTAGAGCTATTTTACAATATTTCCATTTGCTTTCAAAGAAACACTAATGTCTGCATTCCAAGAGTTACTTTAACAGAATTATTTCTGACCAAAAAGAAAATATTTTCCATATGGGACAGGTAGCTGGGTCACAGTGGTATTCCTAAAATGTAACATCTGCTGATGTGATGGAAAACACATAGCTGTTAGCTACAATTTCTAGAATTGTACAAATGTGAGTTTTTAGTGTTGTACTGAAAATCTGTTTAGCTTGCTCCGCTTGTTTAAACAGCTGGTGAGTTGAGTTTTAATAAGACCACTCTTATTACATTGGACACTGTATCAAAAATAGAGACACCTTTGTATGAATTCTTAGCTGAGTTTAGGATGCTGAACACTAAGGCCTCATTCACACGTTTCTTGCAAATTCTTGCGGCAGGAATCGCAGGTGGTTCTGGACATCTGCGGCTGCTAAGCCTGTACAGAGCAATTAAAGGCTGGCAGAGGCCGCAGCTGTCTGCTGGTGTTCAGATGTCATCATGGCATCGCGCACTTACCGTCAATTAAAGACATGTGACCCTGACGCGGGAATCCCTAATCACACTGTGATGTTTGGGGATATTAGCACATATGGTGAGCGCTTTAAAGCCTCTACTCACATTATTTTTTTTATTAAGGGTCTGGTAGCCCACTTTTATTTAAAGTTCACACATCGTACCTTGCAGGAGTTGTTCAGAACAGCATTCATGCACCGCTTGCAAAACAACAAAAGTCTAGCCTCCTGGCTTCAACTCTTAACAGTAATAATTCTTGTCCTGTCTTTCTGTAGTGTTGTCCCATCACTTGTATTGTTGGCCCCTCAGGCTGTTGTCTCTCCCAGCCTCACCAGTTATCCCAGCCTCCCTGGCTGTCTTCGTGTGCCACCAGCACACACACCACCTGACTCCAGTTTAACTTCTGGGGGAGTCCTCCTGACTCCTGAACACTGTCTGTTCCTTCCCAGCAGGAGCTAATTCCCCTAGCCAGCACCCTTTTCTTAAGGGCTGTGCGCAGCTGTGCAATCATTTGGTGCTGGTGACTGCTAAACCCTGGACCCAGGACTAGCGCTTTCTTCCCTCCTGAATCACTTTGAAACCCCCTGGTTCCAGGATCCCAAGAAGAATTCAGAAATTCCCTTGCTTCACGATACCACTCAGCTCCTCTGGCTGAGAGTCCTGGGTGATAACACCAAATTCCACACAATACCACAGCATCTAAAGTTATAGGTGTGAATGAGGCCTTAATGGCTTCATGTGTGATTATATCTGAACATGGGTGGACAGCTGCGACTGCTGTCAGACTCAAAAGGTGCCCATACACTGCTCGATTTTCGTACGAGAATCGCGGGAAATCCCACGATCGTACGAGAATCGAGCAGTGTGAACGGAGACGTACGACCGTTTCTACTGTACGGTCGCACGTCTTCCGTCGAACCAGCATGTTCGAAAACCAGCCGGGAATCGTACGATTCTCGGCTGGTTAGAACGGTGCTCGGAAGATAAATGCTGAACAGGCCGGTGTGCGCACGCGCACACTGCCCGTTCAGCATTGCGGTCATCGGAAGCCCGCCCCTCAGGGGGGCGGGCTTGCGATGATCGAGAGTGCGATCTGCCTGTCCAAGATAGGCAGATGTTACGTTGTTTTAATCCCTGTACAACCATCGCAAGACTAAGGTCTTGCGATGGTTGTAGAGTGTATGGCCACCTTAATGGATTTGTACAGGCTGAACCACCTGCAATTTCTGCTACAAGAATCCTCAGAACTTTGCCGCACATATTTGCAGCTGAACCTTATACCCCGTTCACATCTAGGCATCTTGTCGTTAAAAAAGGTAAGCGCTACAAAACACTCAAGACAAGGAATCCCATTCATTTTTATGGCCCCTGTCCACACCTGAGCATTTTGTTACACAAAGCTACCCATTGAAGTCTACAGGACCAAAACGCGCTGTAATATGCCAAAAAGTAGCTCAAGCACTTTTTCCAGCGACAGGCATTTTTCTGCTTGCGACAAAACACTCAGGTGTGAACAAGGGCCATAGAAATGAATGGGATTTCTTGTGCGTTTTGTCGCGCCTACCTTACAAAATGCCTAGGTATGAATGGGGATTAAGAGCCTAATGTGAATGAGACCCAGTTGAAGAATGGAGCTGTTGGAAAAACAGATTCCGACATGGTATAGAAAAACTGGAGAAAAGTAGAAAACAAAGCTTTGTGTCGGGATATAAAAGTTTTAGTTCTCAAATTGCCCTGTAGAGTGACAGAAGGGATCTAACTGGTTATTATGTCTTTGCTCTGATCTGTATAAATCGGTTGATGTCTAAAGTGGACCTTTCAGTCATTTTATGTTTGCATGAATAAATCCGTTGCGTGTCACGATATAAACCAAGAATATAATTTTCCAAAAAACTGAACCATTTAGCAGTAAAAAGTGTTCCTTGGGCAATCAAGTGACTTTGCCCAAGCTAAGATAATGGCATCACTCTGCTGCAGGTAGGAAGAACCATTTCTCAGTCTTCTCTCACCCAGTGATCAGACTGCAACATTGTAACTTATTAGTAAGTCACAAGGTGAGAGGCTGCAAATCTGTGAAAAGAACTGCATAGGCATCCGTATTCACATGACTGTATAGTCTCTGAGCCGGCATCTCAGCCCAGGAAGTAGATGGTGCCACTGTATGATGCCTAATCATAAATGGCACCAGCCTTCTGAAGTGAAAATCAGATTAAAGAATTGTTAGGGGGAGTACTGTGATCTCTGTGAGAGGTTATAAAAACCCAAAGTGTTGCTCTTACATGTTATTTGGCATGCATATATTGTAAGTGATTATCATTTATTGTGGTAATGTAGAGGTATAGTAATGTTGTGTATGTGTGTACATTTTCATGACTCACATAGCAGGATTTCTTCATCTTTTCTGAAGGTTTTATTAGGCCTGAAGCCTAAAAATTCAAACTTTTCTCCACAGGAGTGTCAGACTGTAATCAGCTGCCCCACTCCTTGTCACCCACTGTAACATGATCAGCAAACACCGGCTCTGCCTTTACACACGATACACTGTCCGGAGAGGGGGAAGACATGCACACATTTCTTGGACAGCAGACATATACATGTTCATATACATCAGCTGCATATGCCTGCTTCATGTACACTGGGTGTACATTGTTGGCATATGTTTTTTTAAAATACCTCCGCAAAGGTGGAAATGGGCTTTAAGGATATTTTTTTTATTTATCATAAACTTCTACAAACTTTTTTTTTTTAAAGCCTGTGGAGCGTGCCCGAAAACGAATCCCCTGTGAACAAAAAAAGTGAATCGTGAAATCACAACACACAAAAACGTGCACAACGGTGCTTGGTCCTTCTCCGAAAAGAAGGGGCCACAATTTCCCAACCCCCCGGGGCGCAAGGCTC